AATGGGAGGTTAGACCAGCAAAACCAAAACATCAACAAGAATGACTTTTAAACCAAAAAATTTGTAAAACAGTGCTGAATCTCCCTCCCCACCCACTGCCCTGGTGAAGGACCGTTCTGCACAGCCTGTCCCACCCAGAGCTACCACGGACACAGCACCGACCACCACATTTTGCCTTGTGCTGCCAGGGAATGATCCCATCTGATCCCCTGAGCTGGAATAGAGGAAAAAAATACAGGATTTCAGTTTTTAGCATCATGAACACTTGCCTTTTGTAGCCAGGCTACTTAGGCCAAGTGCTGGCTATAGGATCATACATAAATGTAAGAATAGGGCTCCTGAAGCAATTAGTGCTTATAAGTAGGTGCAGGATAAGGCCTGGGAATCTCAGTGTTGGCCCAGATGGGACACTGTCTTTACGCTGTAGGATGTCTCACTCATCCGTATGGTCCAATAGCTTGAAAGTGAAACATCTATCAAAATCTCATTACTCTGGAGAGGATGGGAGCTCATGGATTATAAACCTTAATTTGTTTTTTATATCTTAAATTATGGTGCCGTATCTAAGCCATAAATTTTTACAAAACAAGCTGCTGATGCATTTGCAAGAGTTGAATAAATGCTCTCAGCACCGTGACAGAGCAGTGGTGGAGGGAGGGAGCAGGGCGAGGGTGGCAGAGAGCTGGCGATGGCACGTTGCTTTTGGAACTGCTACTCTTGTTGTGTTTGCAATAAGATGCCTGTATATACTTGGAGGAGAGCAGAGAAGATTAATGATATCAGTTCCTGGGAGTACAGGCACTCCCTGGTGACCGAAAGGGAGTATTCCTGGATCCACCGAAGATCATCGTTTCACTCCCAAGTGTGTGCTAGCAGAAAGACATGCCTGTCTGCTTCCAGTTTAATATCATCGCAAAGTCCTGATTTATTAAATGGTGTCAAACTTGGTGACAGTCTGAGCCTGTGCTCTGTAGGTTTCGCTCGGTGCTGTAGGAGGCTGAAATGGCTACCAGTGTACAAGACAGTATTTTAAGTTGAGCAGCACTAAATAGCCTGATCCCACAAATCCAGGATCGTGCTGTTTATGTCAGAGAGACTCATCTTGCCAAGTTTTGTGTGCCACTTAAGGGGAAATCTTTCCCACTGAGACCAAATGCTTTTGGGAGTGCGAGTGATAAGCCCCTTGAATCCTTGCTAGATAATGCCCGTACCTCCTGGGACAGGGCTCAGGAGATTTATTCAGTCGTATCATTTATAGGAGGTAGGGTTTGCTAAAGCACAGGAAGCATAGAAAGCTCAAAAACTGCGTCAGAAAGATTTGACAAATAAAATGAAATACAGCCATGAAACCTGTGATGGGAACAAGGGTAGGGGTCAGCACCGAATTAATTTAGTATGACTACTTCATTAAGTTATGGATAATAAGGGATTGTTTCTGTAGTATTTTATTCTGTATTGTTTTATTTCTGTATTATTTTTGTCCTGGTTACACTGGTCGTTGACAATTGGACTCTTCCTCTAATACAGTCAGAATAGTGATGATTCCAGAGATAAGACACGCAAAGCGAGGGTGATACAGATAGATAATGATAAATACATCTTCTTTGTTTCATGGTGCGGACAGTCTTCCCGTGAAGGTCACTCTGACAATGCTCCAGGATGTACTTGTGGAGCTGGTGACTTGTGCGACAAGAGGCCAAGCGGCGTAATCAGATCTTGCATCTGGGTGCTCGCTGTCAGGGTTTCAGGAAACTTCTTTTGCCCTGTGATAGACCTGTTCTCACTGGGCAACGGGAAAAGCCTATGTGACTGTTAAAACAAGAGTGGAAAAATATGTATCTGGAATATGCATTGCTTTATCCTGCCAAGCCAAGTGTTTATTGTGGAGGCCAGACACATCTGTCCTCCTCCAACAGATATCATGGTGTTTCTTGGATTAAAAAGGACGACTGTAGTGGAACAGTGGAAGAAATTGCTTCAGAAGACTGACTTATTGGAGTCCTATATCATATGGACCCTGTCAAAAAATATTAGCCACAATAAAAGCTGACGCTTGGGGAGATGAAAGCAATATTGCTTGATATTGTGATTACCTTGACGGCAACACGCTCAAGGTGGGCAGTGGGGAATTGCCTCCTCTCTTCCTTTGACCTAGGCAGTCAATATGATTACTTTGGGGATTTTTTTGTTGTTTTATGTAATAAAACATCTGTAATAAAAGGGGTGGTTTTTTAAAATAGTTTTGGGAAAGAGACTGGAGACATGGATTGCAGACAGCTATTTGGGTCAAGGGGTTAGGTTTTTGCCAGGCTCCAGATGGGGACGGAGAGGAGGACAGGGGCTGGAAGCGCTTCTGAAGCTGAATCCATCACACCGCACAGGCAGTAACAACAGCATCAGTTTAGTGAGCTGCACCTGGTCTGGAGTTTGGCAAGAGAGAGGACGGTGTAGGCATTATTCCCTGTATGGGCTACTTCCAGGAATGCTGCTTATGAATGTGTGTTTGTTCTGAAAACTTGCAGTAAGTGTGAATAACAAAACTCATTACACGATCTTTGCATTTTCATGCCCTTGCAGATTTACTGGAAGATCTTGGAAAACAGCAGCTTTGGCGGAACAGTTCAGTTATATCAAGGATAAGGAATTCTTGCTGGAAACTTGACAGGCACCAAATCACTTTCTTACATGCAGTCCTTTCAGTTACTTCTGTGGATAGCCTTACGCTTGCTGTGGACAGTTTTATGTGCATGGCATGTGTTAATGGCAGATAAAACCCCAAACAAATCCCACAAAAGACCAAAACCAACCTTCCCCTGTATGCCTGGCTTCTGTTTGAACAACCTTGCCCGGTTCAGGTGCCCTTGCTCATGCACGTTGTGCCTAGCACGTGGTTCTGAATCTTCTGCCATCGGCTGCCTGGCACAGTAAGAGTGAAAGCGTTGGAGCCAAGTTTTGTGATTGTTTTCAAATGGTCCTGAATTTACATCCCTGGTGTTTCTTCAGTATTTTTGTAATACTGATATGGCACAATGGGGCGGAATGGTAAATCGTCATGACCAGTGTAACGTGTTGGCAGTCTGATATCTGGGGATTTGTGTTAAGCACAGGTTACTGCTAATGGACAAAATGAAAAATTGTAACTTCTAGTGTGTCAGATTAATTTGAGGTACATCCAAGTCTGTATAAAAACCATCCGATGCTTAGCATATATGAAACAATACTTGCACATAATTTGATTTTTGTTTCTGGTTCTTGGCATCAGCAGACAGAAAATTTACCTCTTCATTGATATAGCACATAAAGGTTACGTTATAAGTTAACTAGAGAGTGGCCCAGCAATTTGTAAAGTATATGGGCTTAAAAATAACCTGGTTATGAAATAGGATGTGATGCAATGCAATGGTGTTACAGCAGCTTAGTAGTGCTCGTTCAGAAGAAAGCAAATTATGATTATTTGCTACACAATAATGGATATTCTACTGTTCTTCGTTATTCCTGGGACCCTCAGTTCCGAGAAAACTGGAAGCCAGTCCTGAAGCAGCCTTACGTTGCTGTTCAGATTTGCAATTCGATGACAACGTTTAGGATACAATATCGGGTGTGTTTAAACACAGTGCAAAGGTGAAGGGCCGGTTCTGCAGGGTGCTGAGTGCCTCCGACTGCATTGAAGCCAAGGTGTACGAGGGTGCTCAGCGTCTCCTCCGGCCCCCCACCGTACCCCGAGGCACACAACTTTCTTTTGGCGCAAGGAAGCTGCAGGATGTTTGCAGCCAGTGATTCTGCACTGAATTCTCCGCACTGCAGGGAGGTTTGTGCTCCAAGCTGGGGTGGTCCTGCAGCCGGTTACAGGCACCGGCAGCGCCGACGAGCCCAGCAGTGCAAACTGCAGAGGGAGGGCTGTGATATGTCCAATCACTGGCATCACTTCCGAGCATAGTCCACATTACCGTGTCCTCCCCTTCCCTGTCCTGGTTGGGACAGGATCAGCCCTCACACGTTACTCTCCAAGCTGAAAGTCTTAGAGAAAACGTTATCGATGCTCTCCACTGCACTGTCAAAAAATGGCTCTCCTGTCTATTTAAAAATCTTCTAAATTTCAATTAAAATCAACATATGTTAACATTTTGCCTTTTCCTATGCTTTTGCTCTGGACTCAGAAGATAATTTCATATGTTACTGTAATTTTTTTTTCAGAAAAGCAGATAGTTTCTCTATTCCTCTACAAAAGCTTTATGCCACAATAATTTAAGATTTCCTCCAGGTTAGAATATTTCTGCATGTAAAACCTCTTTGAAGGTTTAAATAGACTGTAACTGAGTTTTGACATGTATTAGCATGCGTCAAGTACAGCAGTTATTAAGGGTAGTGGAGACAAGACACATTCCAGCTCTCCAGCGACTCACTCGCAGGTGTCCAGATCACTACAGGCCACAAGCAGGCAAAGCCACTAAAAAAAATTAAAAAATAACCCTTTGTTGCAACAAGCATTAAAATCTCCCTTTACCAACAGATCCAGTGAATGATCAGGTGAGGAATAAACTCAAGTTGCTGCCTTATAAAACAGTGTCCCAAGACTGAGACTGGGAAAATTGTCTTTTTATTTGTTTTGTGTGAATCTTTTCCACGTCACTTGTAAGGCTCTGCATGCCCCCAGAACGTATTTTTAAGTTATATTAGAGCATACGTTTGCACAGCACGACGTGCGTTAGTTAACTAGGAATTACTGAGTTCTGTCCTGTTCCTCTTCTCCTCTCTGTGAGCTGAATCTGTCTGCATCCAAACAGTTCAGAAGAGAGAAATCGTTTGCCATACTGATGGATTTTTTTTTAAATCCTTTAATTCCTTTCATTGGTATATAAGGAACTGACTGGAATTCTCATCTCTCCCATAGCAGAACTGAAGGAGTGTGACATGCAGAAGGGAACGCTCGGGACGAAATACTTTTTAGAGCATAACAGGTTTAAGCAAAGCAAACTGACCTCCTGCACTTCCCTCCCCAGGGCACGGCTTCTGTTCTGCAGCGCAGGTCTGACAACGAGGAGTACGTCGAAGTTGGAAGACTTGGTCCCTCAGATTATTTTGGTAAGAAAATTCAGCTTAAGGATGGTTCAGAAAGATGGGCACGTGGAGTTGTATCATGGAGTTACTGCCTTAATTAGCGTTCTACTCTTTTACGAGCGCGGGTTTACGCGTGGTTCAGCTGCTGCTTTCAGCGGTACTGAGAGATTTCAGTGAAGCTGAAACCGTTCCTTGGTTTACACCAGCGTAGCTGACAGGAGACAGATCCGGAATCAGCAAACCAGTCCGAAAGCATTTGTTTTCAAAGGCATTTTACCCGCCTGCATTATGTATGTGTAATGCATTTGTACTGTCAGCAGAGTTATGTAAAGTATCTATCAAGAGATAGATAAAGGGAGATGTTCTACAACCAAAGCAGCTGCGTGGTGGCTGGAATATGCACCCTCCAAAAAAGAGGCACAGGGCGTGTGACGGCGTATTTATCCCTGTTTTCTCCAGGTGAGATAGCGTTACTGCTCAATCGGCCCCGGGCTGCGACAGTGGTGGCACGCGGACCACTGAAGTGTGTAAAGCTGGATCGGCCCCGCTTCGAACGAGTCCTCGGTCCTTGTTCCGAAATCCTCAAGAGAAACATTCAGAGATACAACAGTTTCATTTCGCTCACCGTCTAAATGATTCCTCCTGGAAAGCTGCCTTTGTGTGACCCTGTGCACTTAAATTTGCTCTGTGCAGCTCCATAGCTTTATGAAGAAAAAAAAAAAAAAAAAAAAGGGGTGCATTTTATGTGTATTTTTTCTGTTGATGTCACGTACTGGATGTCAGTTCAGATCTCATGTATCATGTAAGTGGGAAGACAACTGTTTGGGTAAGACTGGCTTTGGGGAAGATTAGGCTCTTGGCTTGCAGGCAAGATTTTTACCTGTTGTTGAATCATATAGCTTAAAACCGTGTTTTTAACTGTTTAAAATTTAGATGAATTTCTATTTCCCTTATTATCTCTGAAGTTGATCTTATTCACCTTTTGTCAAGCTGCTCTGATCAAGCGATGTCCCTCTGCCTGTCACTTTTAAAAACCTTTTCGCTGGTTGTGGACTGGAGGATTCTGAAATCCCGCGGGGTGAGTGGCAGTCGCACCGCCTAAGTGGGAAGGTTGGAGGAAGATTTTGATCATTCCAGCAAGCCAGGGAAGAGTGGAGCTTTGGAGTCATTTTGTTTGTGGCTGAGATACAAGGGCCATATTTCCTCCGTGTTACGAGCCCTTGCAGGTCTGCTTTGTAGGATACGCTAAGCCAAACAGCCCGCTCCCGTCTTCTGGGTGAGGAGGTCAAAGAACAATGTTTCGTAAGAATTCAAATGGAGCCTTTAGGACCCAAGTTATTTGTCCTCAGCTTTTTTTTAAATGAGGGTTTGCATTAGATCCCTTAAGAGTCCAATGGGAACATCTCTGCTGAGTTAAACGGGCTTCGAAATGTATTTATCTGCAGCAGAGTGCCCTCAGCCACTTCTCTGAATATTCAATGCTGAAGAGATGGTGCCAGGTGTACATCAGGGCCAACCACAGCAGTTTGGTTTTTAATAAGGTTCACTTAATTAAATTCAAATGCCTTTCTTTTAGTATATGACCAAAACATAGGATTTTTTTGGATTTTCTGAAAGCCAGATACCCTTCAGAAAGCTGCCTCTCCTCCAGAAGACACCTATTGTGTACAAAAAGCACCGGGATCTTGCAGGCAGCTCCCCGCGCCCAGGTCCCTCCAGGCGCGTGCGGCCTCGCTGGCAGCCGTTGCTGCCCTCCCAGACGTGGGTCTCCTCTGGAATGGAGCTTTTTGCAGATCCAGACCCAAAATTCCAGTAGCTGCCCACAGGGGTTTTACAGAGCTGGCTGCTTCTCGGCTTCAGGCTCCGCTCATCACTTCAAGGTGCTTCATTTCTTCCCGCGTATTTTCAGTGCTCCTGTCAGCGTATATTCGTTGCTACTATTTATTATGATTATGTTACGCTTCTTGCACGTGTTATTAAATATGACCATTCACATTTTTCAACCTGGCAGTTTTTATCATGTACGTTTATACAGGCAGACCCCCATTATATATAGAGAGAAATGTATATGCATTTGCAAAACTTTTGATTTGCTTCATTGTTTTCGTATTCTCTTGTGCAATTTTTTAAAAAAAAATTTTTTTAAAGCTTCCCAATCACTCACGTATGTTCTTTTACCTATTGCATTTCTGTTGTATTGGTAAAAATTTGTGAGTGTGTCGCATAATGTGCAAGATACGCATTTCTTGTTGAACACCAAGTATTAGCCTCACTGTTTAGAAGTTACTCGAGCACACACACAACACGGATTCTTTGCTTTAAACCTTTACAGCTCACGGAAAATACATTTGAATTATGGTTCTGTTATAAGCGATCTCAAGAGAAGTGTAACCGTTTAACACCAGGATTTCTATGCTTTAAGTGGAACAAAATGATATTCAATGATGTTTTAAAGATAATTGTAATATTTGCAGTGGATGATGGGACAGGATTACGGTATGAATAAAATTCTTCTACATTATATGCGGCCGTTGTGGGTTTATTAATAGTGGAGGTCTGTATGAACAGAAGTCACGTTCTAGTTAAAGTCTGCATATCATAAAAAGTTTGAACTCTACTGAAAATAATCAGATGCAAAGGGACAAAAAATAGACCCCGCATCCCAGCGCTATGTATAGTAATGGCAACCAGAGTGGTTTTCTGGAGGATTAGCATTGTGTTTAAATGTAACCATGTATGTTCCCCCCCAGTGTCAGAGATAAAGCCCATGGCCCCGACCATGCTGAGGATCCGTCCCAGTCGCTCCTCTCAACTTCTGGCCACGTGTGGATTTGGAGGAGTGCCGCTGCCCTGGGACCGAGGCACGAAGCCGCTCGTGGCACCAGAGGTGTACGGCTGCTGCCGCGGCTGCTGTCGCGGGCTGGCCAAGAAGAGCTACACTGAGGACAAACTTCTCGGAGAAGGCTGAGCCTCCCGAGGAACCACCTGTATCTCCTGCGTCAGGGTGAATGCATGGGCTGAAGGACCCATACGGCTTCTGGGTGAGGAAGAGGTGTGCAGCGTGGTGCTAATGCCCCAGTGGAGCTCTGGGTGGGCTCATACGTCGGTGTGTTGTGGTCCCAGCTGGGCTCCGGTGCTGGAGCCGTCGCCCAGAGCAGCGTGCAGGGCTGGTGGACTCGCTCCGTGCAGCTTCTCTGCGGTGGCCCCCGCACAGGGAATCGTGGGCGGCTCCCGGCATCCAAGGGCTGTCCAGCTTTCCGTTTTTGGAGTGTGTTATTTTTCCCCCCTTTGCTATGATTCAGGCGGGAAGGACTTGTCTTTCCAGAGAATTACTCACATTATGTAGTAATCAAAAGTGACCACTCTCTCTGAGGTTCTTCCAGAAGGACATTACCAGCCCACGCTCCCCAGAAAAGAGCATCTCACCACTCCACATGGTCATTCTTTTTTCGGTTGGTTTTAATTGTGTCGCAGCCATTTCAGGACTCCCAAGACAAAAGAAAAGACTTTTTGTTTTAATAGAAACTAATTGTACCTCCAGGTTTTTAACAAGGCCCATGTGGCTGCCCAGGCTTTAGCGTGTGCGTGGGATTACTGTAAGGGCTCTTTAGCATTCCCACCGCTTTGCGGCAACGGGCGCCTGCAGTTGTGGAGTTGCATGAACCCCCTGAATCCCTGATGCTCGCGCCAGCACAGCCCGACGTCACCTTGCCTGTCCGGGTGTTGGTGGAAAACAAGAGCTGTTGCGGAGAAGCAAGTAACCCCGGCGCACCCGGTTGGGTTGTTGGCTGCCGGTTTGTTTCTCTTGCCGTAAGTGGTCTTCAGAAGCGGAGTCACTGCACGAAGGGTGACACGTCTTCCGCTGCGAAGGTGCCGCAAGGTGCGCGCATCGCATTCTAAGTCTTAAATGGTGCATAAATCCTTTCCCTCTCCTATTTATGGAAGAGACCACGTTTGTTCTTCACGCGTGTTTCTGTGTAGCAGCAGATTATTACCTCGTGCAGAGGCAAACCCGTGATACGGTGAGCCAGAGACCCTACGGCCTGCTGCTCCCGGCGCTGCCGCAACCGCGGACAGTCACCGCAGCCGCACTCGTGTCCCCCGGCAGAGCAGAGAGACAATTTTCTGTTGTTGCACTATTGACCCAATGAGCACTAGCTGGTTTAAAAGCTCACGCTTGATAGTTCAAGGACCAGCTCACCATTTAGAGACCAAATCATCTACTCTTCCATTCCCAGGCATGTTTTTTTAATTTGTTTCTAATGATTTGGCAACTCTGACTGGAGCTCATTTTCGCCTTCTTCAAATGCACACGACTGCTCAGAAACCCGTAGGAGCGTTTCCCCAGCCAGAGTCACTCCTGTAGGTCCCACTTCCCTCTGGAGAGGAACATATTTGGGTATGAGCATATGTGTAGCCTTGAAAAACTGGTGTTCCGGGAATCCATTGGCCTCGGTGCTCCTCCTCCAAGGGTTTCTCTCTGGCTTTTTGCTGCTCAGCAGAGTTTTATCTGGGGTGCAGCACTTACACCACAAGCTGGCCTTTTCTCTGAAAGAGCTGCGGGGCCAAAGGAGCTGGCATCTGCAGCCATCTGGTATTTTTGCGAAGGCTGAGGATGTTTTTTGTGCTTGATCAGGCTCCAATACCAGAGTGATTCTTCTGATGTCTAAAAACCTGGATTCAGCTTTTAGAAAAGAGGCTGCACTGTGCCTGGGAAAGGAAAGCAAAGCACGAGCGTCTCCTCGGGCATACTCCGACTCCTCGCTCGGAAGTGCACGGGTAACTTCTCGCCTCCGAGTGCTCCAGCCCCTCCCCAGCCGTGCTTTCAGCTCTGGTTGCGAGCCGCTCTCTGCAAAAGCAGCGCAGAGCCTCCGCTGCCCGGGCAAGCTGCAACACCCGTCCTGTTCTCTGGTGCTCAGGCAAGTTCAAGTGTGCAGAGTTCTCTTTAAAAAAGTCGTGAGCACTCATGGAGGAAAAAAGTGATCATTTTACCCAAGAAGACTGCTCCTATTCCAGTATAAACTGTCTCCAAACGTGGAACAGCAGCGTGCCATGTTGCTGCATGGGCCAGCAGCGCTGAATGAATTGGCAGATGCTGCGCTGCTGCGTGATCTCTGGTAGCTGGGCTGCGAGAACGCCGCTCCGCTCTCCCCACAGCTTCGGTTCGAAGCCGAAAGGGTCGATTTGCCAAAAAAGTGCCCCTCACCCCAGTCCGGATGGGATAAATCGAGCCTCGCGCTGCCAGGAGTCCTGCCGGGTGCGTCCACCTTACCCTCGGTGGGTGCGAACAGCCTCCGCTCTTCGCAAGAGCTGGCAGTTGGAGACGGGACGTGTAGACTGATGATGAGGTAGGGATTTTCTCAGCACTGCCTGCTGTTACCGGCGCTCTGGATGTTCATACTGCTGGCTCTAGGGAAATCAAGCCTTTCTGGAAAGTGGCTACTCCCTATCCTCTTTATACAGAAAATGTATTGTTATTATTTGAAAGCACTTTTGTATTGCCCTTAGACTACAAGCATGGTGATTGTTCCATTGGAAGACATCATGGTGCATAGCAGTGAAATACGACGTACAGTACCATGCAGTATGTATTTTCCAGATAAACTGGGAAAATAGTGAAATGGATCTGCAAAGTGGGGGTACAATAGCTGCTTTGCATTCCTCCACATGTGTGGAATTTATATGCACTACAGAGTGACTCTGTTTCGTTCCCATGTGTTTACGATGATCGGATAATTAGTCGTATTTCTAGCCGGTTTCATTTTCTCAGTTGCATTTGTGGGCCAAGCACAAAGTCGCCGTGACTTCACATCGAACGCGGCAATGAATTAGTGCTGGCTAAACCCTCCCACCATTTATTTCCACTACGGCAGCGAGAGGGAACAGACTTAGCAGCTGAGAAATACAAGAGATTAGTTCTCCTTCTCATCCAGGGGCAGCTCAAGCAATTTGCCAGATAGAAGTAGTTGGCTGCGTTTGCAGACTCGGGG